GAGCTTTGAACACTGTGACACATCAGGGAGCAGAAGAGTTACTTAGATGTTACGTTTCAGGAGGCAGTTACACCCTTTTGATTAACGCCCTTAAATTCAGGCTCTTGCAAGAAATTACCACAGTCCTACCAGACCACGGAGTTCATTAGCGAGAGACAAATGGCAATGGTTTAACCTGAGGGTCACCATGCCTTAGATGAGGAGAGATGTTGAGAAGGCAGGATTTTCGTGGTAACCTCATCGGGTGTGGAGATTGAACCCACACTGTTGGTGTCGCTCTGCATCACAAACCAGCCATCCAGTCAACTGGGTGAATCCAAATGGTCCACTGGGTCATTTGCACAGAGTCAGGAGAAATCCAAGTTTTGCAAACCCAGCATTAAAAATGACTGCTTGTACTTCCCATTTTTGGTCCAGAACAGGGGTGGGTTGTAGTCAGAGTTAGGACGGGCAACCACAAATTGTGGAGGAGGTTGCTGGTATTTGAGGTTGGCAAGGGGACTCCAGCACTTTAAACTTTGCACAAAGGTTAAAACATAAAATATCTTTCCTGCTTTCACCCCCTCACTCTCAATATATCATCCATCCCAACTCATGCCATCTTATGCCCTATACTTACCCTCCAGCCGGCAATCCCTCCAAGCCAATCTATTCTCCTTTTCCCTATCCCCTATGGCCCCACCTGTGCCAAGTTATACTCACATGCTGCTCCATGTCCATTTACCCATTTTGTATGGTCCCTCATGCTATGCCCCCTGGCTGTTTATATACCCTATACAGCCACACCCACTACCCTTTTCCTTTCCCTATCCAAGACAACTAATGCCCACCTTGGGCATACCTCAGGAAGCATGCTAACAGAAAATAAACATATGTGTCTATTGATACTATCACTATTAAAAAAGACACTTGCATTGATACAAAAATAAATCAATACATTGAAATTCATCCAAATTCTTTAAGCAAACTAACGTTTCTTAAGTGCTTAATCCCTGATATAAACAAACATTTTCATTCTATACACAGTTGGAAGTGCCCATCGAAATGCTGACTCGATATACCTTTTGTGAAAATTGTAGTCCGAAAAATCAGTCATGCAGGACAAATTCTAAAATGATTTTTGTCAACGAGAACTCTAAAGTACCAAGCACTCTTTTTTTTTAACTCAATGCATTTGTTCGGATGGTTCCTTGACAGTTTTGGCGGTTCCTATACAGCTTTTTGCTGCAATCATCAAAAAACTGATGGAAGGAGTTGTTGACATCAAGTCATGTTTGCTCAACAATAATCTGCTCACTGATGCCCAATTGGGGTTCTATTGGGGCCACTCAGCTCCTGACCTCATTACAGCCTTGGTCCAAACATGAGCAAAAGAGTTGAATTTCTGAGGTGAAGTAAGAGTGAATGGCCTTGACAACAAAGCAGCATTTGATTGAGTGTGGCATCAAGGAGCAATAGCAGAATTGGCATCGATGGAAATCACTCCACAGGTTGGAGTCATTCCTAGCACAAAGGAAGATTGTTGTAGTTGCTGGAGGTCGATCATCTCAGTTTCAGGACATTTCTGTTGGAGTTCTAGTCCCAACTATTTTCAGCTGCTTCACCATTGACCTTCCCTCCATCATAAGGTCAGAAGTGGGGATGTTCACTGATGATTTGCACAATATTCAGCACCATTCATGACTCCTCACATACTGAAGCAGTCCATGCCCAAATGCAGCAAGAGAGGACTACACCAGGCTTGAGCTAATAAGTGGCAAGTAACCTTTGCGTCACACAAGTGCCACACTGTCTCTAACAAGAAAGAATCTAACCATTATCCCTTGATATTCAATAATTTTTGTTTTCTTTATTCATTCACGGGATTTGGGCTTTGCAGGCTAGGCGGCAGGTCAGACAATGGCCTAGTGGTATTATCGCTGGACTGCTAATCCAGAGACCTAGCCAACATTCTGGGGACCCAGGTTCGAATCCCGCCATGGCAGATGGTGGAATTTGAATTCAATAAATATCTGGAATTGAGAATCTAATGATGACAGTGAATCCATTGCCAATTGTCGGGCAAAACTCATCTGGTTCACTAATGTCCTTTAGGGAAGGAAACTGCCATCCTTACCTGGTCTGGCCTACATGTGACTCCAGACCCACAGCAAGGTGGTTGATTCTTAACTGCCCTCTGGGCAATTAGGGATGGGCAATAAATGCTGCATAGCCAGTGAAGCCCAAATCCCATGAATGAATAAAGAAAAAAAATTACCATCATTGAATCGCCACTATCAATATCTTGGGGTTACCATTGACAAGAAATTGACCTGGGCCAGCCATGTGAATACTGTGGCTACAAGAGCAGGTCAAAGGCAGGGAATTCTGCAGCAAGGATCTCATCTTGATGTAGTTCCTCATCTATATCACACAGCCATGAATGTAATGGAATATTCACCACTTTCCTGGATGAGTGTAGCTCCAACAACACTACAGAAGTCCAGTACTACCCAGGAGACTCCATTTGATTGGCACCCAATACACCATCTTCAATATTCAGCAGAACTTGGGTTTCGTGACTTCTTCCGGCATTTTCACCAGGGTGGATTTGCTGTCTGTCATGGTGAAAATCTTGGATTTAATTATCCTTTTGAAGTTGCCTTGTAAGCTATTCAGTTATTTCAAGCGACTAAAATGAAGATTCAAATGATTCTGAAACCAACAGTGCGACCACCCTCACAGGGACTGGGGATGAGCAATAAATGGCAGACCTTGCAGAATATTCAAAATCAGGGAATTACTTTACTGAGAGAAAAACACAGATAAAATATTTTACCTACCATCAAACATCTCAATACGTTTTACAGCCAATAAAATACTTTTTGTATTATCATTATCATTACAATGTAGGATATATGGGAGTTGATATGCACTGCAAATTTCCGTTAATAGCAATATGATAATGACCAGATAATCTGGTCTTCTGTGATGTTGATTGAGGGATAATTCTTACAAGGGACACCTCCCCTGCTCTTAATCACTTACATCACCCAGGCAGTCAGATGGGCCCTCAGTTTAGTGTCTCACTAAGATAGTAGATCTGATATTGTGGCACTCCCTCAGCATTCCCCTCAGGAGTCTGCCTTGATTTTTGAGGGGCTTCATTTAAGAACCTTGTAATGTGAGACTGTAAAGCTATTGTGTGTTATCTCATGCAGTAATAGTATAAGTAGTATGAGGGAGCCTGATCACAGCCACACTAGCTCATTTTCTCATCTAACATCCACACATGTATAGTTTCCCATTGAATCATGAACATGAACATAAGATGTGGAAGCATTGGAAAGGGTGCAGAGGAGATTTACCAGGATGTTGCCTGGTATGGAGGGAAGGTCTTATGAGGAAAGGCTGAGGGTTTTGAGGCTGTTTTCGTTGGAGAGAAGAAGGTTAAGAGGTGACTTGATAGAGACATACAAGATCATCAGAGGATTAGATCGGGTGGACAGTGGGAGCCTTTTTCCTCGGATGGTGATGGCTAGCACGAGAGGACATGGCTTTAAATTGAGGGGTGATAGATATAGGACAGATGTCAGAGGTAGGTTCTTTACTCAGAGAGTAGTAAGGGCGTGGAATGCCCTGCCTGCAAAAATAGTAGACTCACCCACTTTAAGGGCATTTAAATGGTCATTGGATAAACCCATGGATGATAATGGAATAGTTTAGGTTAGATGGGCTTCAGATTGGTTTCACAGGTCGGCGCAACATCGAGGGCCGAAGGGCCTGTACTGCGCTGTAATGTTCTATGTTCTATGTTCTATGAAACATTGACTTGAGTTTTTTAAAGAAGTTCTCTTGTCCTTTCTCCATTGACCTCATTGACCCAAGTACCATATTTGTTGTATTCAAGAGGGAGATGGTCATTGTTTGCCCAGATGGAATCTTCCCAGACCTGCTGAAGCAGTTTTGACAGCAGGACCAGAAGGAATAGTGGGGTTTTAGAATGGCCTGGTTTCAGATCAGTGGCCTGTGAGTTCCCAAGTCTGGCTGATCTTGGCAGATGCAGTGTTAAAGTGGCAAGGCACTCTGCCTTGACAGATAACCACATTGCACATTTAAATAGACAGTTTGGGGATGTCACTACCATTTTCCCAGTTGTAATAGGACCTCAAATAAGGCCAAAGCATGACAGGCACTTGGAGGTGATTTCCTGTGGCCCAGCACGGGTTGGGAGCCACCAGCTTTCCCTTCCATAGTGACCTTGTAGTTGTGGCCCCCTGCTTAATTTTTATAGATGGGAATGCCTCCAGGGAATATCTCAAGATGCCCCCCTCCTACAGCAGCAGTGCTGACTTCAGGAAGGTGAGGCCTCTGTCCCTTCAAGTTTACAGGCCCACTGAAAGGACCTAAAAAGGCCTACTCTCTCAGGAACAGGGCGACTATCCTTAGTTAGATTATAGGCACCGAAGCAGCCAGTTAGGATACTGCCTGCTCAAAGGTCATGCCCTGCCAACAAGTGCAAGGTTGGGACTCAGAAATAGTCCACACCCACATTAATTTGAAAAGAACTTATGATTCAGTCATCATGAGTGATTTGCAGATAATGTAGTTTTTTTAATATTTCAGGGGTCTAAGTTGTATATTGAATAGGATTCATCTTAGCCGGGGCTGGGGGAGGGGGTACAGGTTAGATGAAGCAAAGAGACTTTTGCTAATTCTGCTAACTTCTATTTTTATCTTTGTGCTTAGTGGAATTTGAGGTTGAGGTTTTATACCTTGAAGCAAAGCATTTGATAGATATTGTGGAAATCTCCAGAAATGTGTGCATTTGATTTTTGTCAGCGGCTTGCTGATTTTTATGTTAAAGTGAGCAGTCAACCAAGTTGTGAAATATGCAGCAAAAATAACCTTTAAATGCTAAATTAGACAGTTTCAAAAGTATTTAACTTAAAATCTTTGTATCAGTTTTCTTTTCATCAGCTTTGTTAATTCATTGATCTAGATTATTTTTTCTCTTGCAGGCACAGTACGGAAACTACCAGCAATAGGAAACAGCTGATTGCCATCTCTGAAACAGTCATGTATGCACAACATCCTTCATTGATTTTTACAGACTAAAATGAAGCATGGACTGTCATATTTCATTTTTGAGAGGTAGCTCAAAGCAGCTTCTGGATGTTGTAGAAATTTTCATTCTTTTCATGGTGAATAGTAACATTGCACTACCAATGACAAGCCAATGCGTATTAGTTTTAGACTTGGTGCTGTGAATATTGTACGTTTTAAACTGTTGCACTGTTGTACAATTGCATCTGTTTGTTAATAGGATTGCAACCTAATACTAGTGCACTTCCACCGTGGAAACACAAGATGGTTGGTTTTATAAGTTTGTAGGTGCTCTCTAAAGCGGTGAATTGTCCTGTGGATTTAAGCACCTGTGTGTTTATACTAAACTTTGCACTATTTTTTTTCTTCCATATTAAATGCAGCAACCAAGTATTGGAAAAAGATCACTAAAAAATTCACTTGTGTTTTCAGTAAGGTCTAATAGGAATGCAACATGTAAAGTTGCACATTGAAGAAGTACATTGTCACCTTGATCCTAAAGCATAGATAAATTACATTCAAATGAGGAATTAATTGTCAGAGGTAGTTGCTGTGGTGCATTTGATTTCTATAAGGGAGGCAGTCAATTCTATGTCAATTCTTATTGCTTGTTCACAGATTGATATCCATAATTCCTCACCATTTTTCTGAACAAATGAAATGCTGCGTATGAATGACTATCACTTGAATCAGGTGAAAATGGTATAGGGGTCAATACTTTGAGAGTTATATGGCTTGATAATAATGGGGTCATCCAAAGGAAAGTATAAAGTGTTGACTAGTGGTACACTTTCACAGTTTTTTTTATTGTGCTCTTAATGAGAGTGACGTGTATGTGAAATAATATTAATAATAGAAAAGCAATTCTTTTGTTCTAATTTGGTGTCCGCAAAATGTTGCCTGAAAAATGATTTTTAAAACTACGACTGGAAACAGTTGTGTCTAATAACTTTGTATTTATGAGTGCAATTGTTGCATAACTGAGTATTGAAAATATTATATGTCAATATGAACAGATAATATCAATGAATCCATAGTGACTTCTATGTTTAAGCTCTAAAACTAGTTCTCATGCGAACAGCCATTTTGCAGGAATTTTTCAGTAGATAGGGAATCAATTTTGATATATTTTATGTTTTTGTGGTTTACCTTTGGTAGCAACTTGTCTTCATTCAGCACCTGTTCAGACTTAGTACAGGTCTAGGGATGGCAGTATTTTGAAATTAGAAACAAAGCCTTGCTGCAGATGGCACGGTGGCCAAATGGTTACAACACTGACTGTCTTCCATCAGAAGACCACCAGCTTGAGTTCCAAGTTGAATGCTGTCTGTATGAGTTCTATCACTTGCTTGCAGGGCTTTAGGCAAAGTGGGCTGCAGCTATTAATCAGCCCACACTAATTTGAGCAAAGGACTACTTGTGCTTATAACAGAGAAGTGTTGGCAACAATTAGAAAGAAAACAGTAAACTGGACCATACTATCTACCAACAATAGGGTTCAGGAAACCTCGTGTGTGGTGGAGGGATGGGGATATATTGGGAACATTTGGAGTACAGTTCCAGAAGTATTACAATAAATGGGTTACATTTACATTCATTATTGATTATCAATTTAACCAGAAAAGTGTGTTCTTTGTTCTAAAAATTATTCGAGAAAATGATTCTAAAACACACAGTCCAAAGTCAACCATTTTGTGTAAATATTAAAAACATTCCAGAGTGCACCAGCTTGTCCAATGTGGGAATGTAAGGACACGTAATTTATTGAGCACTGATGATTATACCGTTTGCTGTAAGATTTGTATTTGTGTACAATCACATGAACATTTTGCATTTCATTTGCCAATTTTCTTTTGGTCTTGCTGTTAAACAGCCAAATAGCTAAAATACAGATTGTACTGTGACAATCATCTGCTTGTTTTCAAGAAACAAAAAAACTTGAGATTTTAGTATATTGAATTTTTTTTATGACACTTGTTGTAATGTTATATGTTAAGTCTTTAACTTCTCATCATTATCTAAAAACACTAAATGTTGAGTAAATGTGTGTGCATCTCTATTAATGGAGGCAACTGCTGTTTGAATTTAGTGACCAAAAGAAGTTGAAGTTGTTGTAAGTACAAGTGAGTTGAATTGTCTTGCCTGTACTAGACATTGTATGTTGCTACTTAAAGTTGTTACATTCTAATTTTAAAAGGAATCTAATAAATCATTGAGTTAATTATATTTTTAACGTGCTGTTCACATGCAAATATCCATCAAATAGGATTGTTTGTATTATCCTTTGCAAAACAAGACTAATAACATCTCAAAATTATGAAGTGATGATTGGTTAGCTTTCTATAAGGAGGGGAGGCTTGAAAAAGTCTGCATGTAGCAGGGAATTGGAGTGGATAATCATTACTTTTAATGGTAGTTTTATTTTATGCCAGTTGATGTTCTGAATGCATGCTTTGGTTCAAGGATAACTATTTCATGTGTAGCAGACTAGATGTTCCATGCTGCAGCAGTAAACATTCAGAATATTTACCCAATGCTCCAGAAAGAACTAATTCTGAAATATCAGGAATTGATATGTTCTTAACTGACTTGTGCTGAGAAATCCATTTGGTTTTGTTGAGTGATGTTCATGGTTCCAAAATGACACATTCTGAAATTGAATTCTACCACTTGAGCAATTTGACCAGCGCCACAAAAAGTATCCACAAAACTTCTGCTGGTTTGTCATTTTAAAACTCTGACTGCTTCATTAATGTTCTTCATTCAAGGGAACCTGCTACCCCTACCTGTGGCAGTCCCATATGATTGACTCACAAAACCTCAGAACAATTGGGTTGAGCAATAAATGCTGCTTTTCCAAAGTTACCCTCTTCCAGAGACTAAATAAAAGCATAATTAACAAGGTTAAGCATTCTAAACAGTGGATATTTGTTTAATCTCCACCTAAATGTGAAAAAAAATCAATATTTTATGACGTGGGGAAAGTTACAATTATTTTCTTAAACAAATGATGTCTTGAGAAATCTAATGGTCTCTGTTTTGTTTTGTTGAATAGCAGGTTGCAATATGCCTTGGGTGGTTATTCACTTGTCATCGCGCAATAGATCTCTGTTATCACTCATTTCCTGACAGAAAGTATTTGAAAACTTCAGTTTATTGTCTATCTTCAAAGTATAATTGCACACAATCTTGTGGCACAGTGAGTTCATTCTGATCAATTCTACGTAGAATCTATTGCTGCCGTGTTCTTCTCTCTAATAAATATTCACCTCCACAACTCGTTGTTTACAATTCAGATTATTAAACCCCAGAATCATTCTTATTGCTCCTCTTTCTTCCTTTTAAAGACATAGTACTGTATACTGCACACACGTTTCATATATGGCCTTGCCTATGATCTGTATAAAGTTGGAGTTCCTTGTTTTAGGATATATATGTGTACACCTCAGTACTTGATTAGCCTGGAACAAAAAAAAGTTGGCTAAATAATCTCTGCTGTATAAGGTTACTCTTCACTTTTAATTTGGCGTAGATGAGGTCTGTGTATTTATATAGCATGTGTGCAAGCTGCCTTCCATAAAGAAATTATGGCTACCACAATAAAAACAAATATTATACCTTAACAGTATAAAGTTGTTGTAAAATGTCAATGTATAAAATACTGTCACACCTTGATCATGCCAAAAACATTTGTTTGTAGTAATGTAGATTTGAGTTTGCAATAAAATTATTTAGAAAATTTATATTTGTATATTCAGTTGGGTTTGGGGTTATCACTGATCTACATTTGAACTGCACAGACTGTTTTTTTAATTAGCTTTTGGAAAGCCATGGTCTTAGGTTTTTGGCATCTAGACTATAGAAGAATTACTGCCAGCTTGAGTGATTGATAAAGTAGAGGCGTGTCAACAACAAATGCCATTATTAACATGCAAATTGGCCAGCAAGTTTGGGAATTGGGCGATACATTTTGAGGTAAGAAACTTAAAAGGTTGTGGTGGATTTTTCTAAAATAATTCATGGGAAGTGAACATTTGGTCAACATTTGTTGCTCATTTCTAATTACCCTTGAGAAGCTGGTGGTGAGCATCCTTGACCGGCTGCACTCCATCTGCTATAAGTACACCTAGGCCATTCCACTGTTTTCCACAAAGGAATGACATCTTACCCTCACCGTTGCTGTTATTTTTAAGAACTTACTGAATTGGTATACTCACTTGACTGAACTAATAAAAACAATTATAGAGTTACACAGCACAGAAACAGACCCTTCGGTCCAACTCCTCCAAGCTGACCAGGTATCCTAAACTGAACCACTTCCGTTTGCCCGATTTTGGTCATATCACTCTAAACTCTTCCTATTTATGTACCTGTCCAAATGTCTTTTAAATGTTATAATTGTACCTGCCTCTACCGCTTCCTTTGGCAGCTCTTTCCATACATGCACCACCGTCTGTTTAAAAAATTTGATCCTCAAGTCCCTTTTAAACCTTTCCCCTCTTACTTTAGACCTATGCCATCTAGTTTTGGCATCCGCTATCCTTGGAAGAAGATCTTGGCTATTTACCTTATCTGTGCTCTTCATGGTTTTATAAACCTCTATAAGGTCACCCTTCAGCCTCTGACACCCCATGGAAAAAATGTCCCAGCCTCCCATTATTGAGAGTATCTTTAATTCAACACCTATTTTCATATTTGAAACCATTTAAATTTTTCCAAATTCACCTTGAATAATGAATAAGATAATAATAAGCATAAATAAGGTAATAAATTCACCTTGACATTTAGAACCCTCAATGTAAAGAACGTCTTAGCTTGCCTTTTTGTCTTTTTTCATATCTCTTAGTGAAATATTCCCTTCAAGTTCTGAGGAACGGTCACTGGACCTGAAACACTAACATTGCTTTCTCTCCACAGATGCTGCCAGACCTGCTAAGTTTTTCCAGCAATTTCTGTATTTGTTTCAGATTTTCTGTATCATAATTTTTTTTCTTTACTTATTTAAATTTCTTTCGTTCTTCCTGATTTGATCTAATTCACCCCTTCTCTGTTGTTTCTCAATTTCTTTTTCTATGCTTAACTCTTAAGGAATACATTGTTAGTCCAATCATTGAGTCAGGTGCATAAGCCCTATTGTCCTCATCATGCTGGTATGAGCTCACAGAAACATTTCCAAACTGAAGGGAGCAGAGAGAGATCTAACTGGTCATACTATGAGATAACCCACTGCAGCAAGAACCCATTGTTTTGAAACTCCCATTTATGTCAGTGCTTTTTCCTAAATGTATGACCGTCTAATGAATTGCTAACTGCTTTATTTAAAATGAATACTGCATTTTACTTTAATTTGGAATTTTGTGAAATTGCGCAGTAGACTTCTGTTTCAGGGTTCTCCAATGTATGTGAGTGAAAGGGTAGCTCTCATAACTGGAGCAACTGCTCACATCCTTGTCGATGTGATCAGCAGTTACCACGTTTCTCTGATGCACTGTGCCTGTAACTATCAGAAGCACTGCCTGTTAATGTGGGGCGTGGTCAGAAGGCACCACACCCCCTTCTCTATGGTGTGACCATTATTATTACCCTCCCTTCCCCCCACCCAACCCTTGGGTGTGGCCACCAAGATGCCCTGTACATATCCCTGTGATCAAGGCTGTTAGTCTCCTGGGCTATGGGAGTGTGGCCATTATTATCCCACGCCATTTCATTGGAGGCGAGGTCACCAGACACCACACCTCTCTCCATGGAAGAGGCATGGCCAATATCTTCCCCCTTCCCCCTGTCCTTGTGGATGTGGTCATCTGATGCTGCCTCCCCCTGGGGGAAGCAGTTATCACTATCCTTGTCCCATGCCCTTTGGTGGTGTGGCCATCAAGATATCCTACCCCTATCCCTGTGGTCATGACAAATGCATTAAGAACAAGAGGGTAACTAAAGAGAGATTAGGGCCTCTTAAAGATCAAGGAAGTGGTCTTTGTGTTCAACCCCAGGAGATGGGAGAGATACTAAATGAATATTTTGCGTCAGTTTTTACTGTGGAGAAAGAAATGGAGTCTAGAGAATGCAGAGAAATAAACTCTGATATTTTAAAAACAGTTCACATTACAGAAGAGGAAGTTCGGGAGATCTTAGAGATTATAAAGGTGGATAAATCTCTGGGACCTGATCTACTGTATCCCAGAACATGTGGTAAGTAAGGGAGGAAATTGCGAGACTCCTTGCAGAAATATTTGCATCGTCTATAACTGTGGGTGAGGTGTCTGATGACTGGAGGGTAGCTAATGTTGTACCTTTGTTTAAGAAAGGTTGTAAAATCAAATTGGGAAACTATAGACCTGTGAGTCTGACTTCAGTTGTGGGTAAGTTGTTGGAGGTGATTGTAAAAGATAGGATTTATAGACATTTGGAGAGGCAAAAATTGATTGGGGATAGTCAGCATAGTTTTGTGCGAGGCAGATTGTACCTCACAAACTTGACAGAGGTTTTTTGAGGAAATTACCAAGAAAATCGATGATGGCAGAGCAGTAGATGTTGTTTATTTGGATTTCAGTAAAGCCTTTGACAAGGTTCTGCATGGTAGACTTGGTTAGTAAAGTTAGGTCACATGGCACTCAGGGTGAGCTTGCCAATTGGATACATAATTGGCTTAACGGTAGGAGACAGAGAGTAATGGTGGAGGGTTGCCTTTTGGACTGGAGGCCTGTGACCAGCAGTGTTCTACTGGGATTGGATCTGGGTCCTTTGTTGTTTGTCATTTATATAAATGATTTGGATGAGAATATAGAAGGCATGGTTAGTAAGTTTGCGGACGACACCAAAATTGGTAACATTGTAGACAGTGAAGAAGGTTTTCTGAGATTACAAAGGGATCTTGATCAAATGAGTCAATGGACTGAGAAATGGCAGATGGAGTTCAATATGGATAAATGTGAGGTATTGCATTTGGGTACAAAAAACAAGGGTAGGGCTTATACAATTAATGGTAGGGCCTTGAGTAGTGATGTGGAACAGCGGGAACTCAGGGTGCAGGTACATAATACTTTGAAGTTTGTGTCACATATAAACAAGGTGGTTAAAAAGGCTTTTGGCACGCTTTCCTTCATTGCTCAGTCCTTTGAGTGTAGGAGTTGGGAAATGATGTTGAAGTTGTACAGGACATTGGCGCGGCATCATCTGGATACTGTGTCCAGTTCTGGTCGCCCAGTTACGGGAAGGATATTTATCAAGCTGGAGAGGGTTCAGAAGAGATTTACCGTTGCCATTTTTGGAAGGTTCGAGTTATAATGAAAGGCTGGATAGGCTGGGACTTTTTCACTGGAGTGTAGGATGTTTAGAGGCAACCTGATAGAAGTTTATGTGTACCTCCCATTATTTTATAGAGTTAATAGTAGATGTCTTTTCCCTAGGATGGTGATTTCAAGACAAGGGGCCACATTTTTAAGGTGAGAGGAGACAAAATTAAAAAAGACGTGGGGCAAATTTTTTTTACACAGAAGGTGGTTCACGTGTAGAATGAAGTTCCTGAGGAAGTGACGGATGCGGGTACAATTACAACATTTAAAAGACATTTGGAATAAGTACAAGAATAGGAAAGGTTTGGAGGGATAACGGGCCAGGTGGAGCTAGTTTAGTTTGGAATTATGGTTGGCATGGACTGGTGGGACCGAAGGGTCTGTTTCCGTGCTGTATGACTCTGGCTGCCTTTCTGGGCTCCGGGGGTGTGGCTATGGCTGTCTCCGCCCCCATGGGGGTGTGACAAACATACATCCCGCCCCTAACCCTGTGGTCACGAATCGTCCCGGGCATTGGGGGTGTGGCTATTGGTATCCACGCCCTCATGTCCCTTGGGGGTGTGGCAATCAGACTCCGCCCCTAACCCTGTGGTCACGAATCGCCCTGGGCTCCGAGGGCGTGATCACGGTCGTCTCCGCCACCCGCCCCGACCCCGCGCGTTTGGGGGCGTGACCACAGCAGTCACGCCCACTTTTGTTTGTGAGGCTGCGGGTGGTGAGTATTTTGGGGCCTGAGAGTGAGCCTGGGTTCGGTTTTTGAGTTGTTTTCCTCTCCCATCCGGGCCTGGGCGCCCTCTTTCAGCCGCAAGGGGAAGGGCCTGCTCTCTGCTGATGATATCCAGTTTAGAACAACAGGGTGCATGTGAATCCCCGGACTTGCGTTATGAACACACCTGGCTGTAGGCCTCATTGCGGCTCTGGTGGAGGGAGATGTGCCAAAGGGGCTATCACTGCACTGATTATCAAAATACTCAGTTGATTCTGACGAATCATATTGGACTCGAAATGTTAACAAACTCCACAGAGGCTGCCAGACCCGCTGGGTTTTCCCAGCATTTTTTGTTTTTATTTCAGATCTACAGCAACCACTGTATTTTACTTGTTTCTTAGTCAGAAATGTCCAAGCTTTACACAGGTTTAAAATAATTCTGGAATATGTTTTTAATCCTGAAACGTTTATTTCATAAGTTTTTTTTGTTTTATTAGGAAGAATGGGATTCTATCTTTTAATCTACGAAAGTATGAAGGAGGAAAGATGTGTACTTAAGTAGTTCCCAAACCTGTTAAAGCAATTGACACAATCATCTGAATGGCTATCTGTAATTGTAAGAAATTGAAATT